GGGGGAATGACGTCATTGCGGTGGGTGACGTCATGGCGACTGAGGTGACGTCATCGCCCGGTGCGGATTTCAATGCGGTTTTGGGGATTTTTTTTGGGCAAATTTTGGGGATTTTTGCGGGATTTTTCGTGGGGATTTTTTTGGAATTTTTAGGCGATTTTTGGCGAATTTGGAGGATTTTGGGGGAGATTTTTTGGGATTATTTAGGAATTGTGGGGGAGTTTTGAGGAATTTTTTTGAGGATTTTTTGGGGATTTTTGAGGATTTTTTTGAGGATTTTTTTTTTTATTTTGGGGGATTTTTTGGCGATTTTTTGGCCATTTTTTTGGGGGGGAGGTTCCTAACTGAATTTTATCCAATTCAACAACCTTTAACTCATTTTTTTAACCCTTTCTTCACCGATTTATTGGCTCATCTCCCCCTGGTCCAGCCCCACCCAGGACGAGCAGGAGAACACCAAGGGGTCGAGCACAGCCTGGAGCAGATTTGGGGCATTTTTGGGGGAATTTTTGGGGATTTTCGAGGAATTTTATGGGATTTTTTTTTTATTTTTTGATGCATTTTTAGGGATTTTTTTGGATTTTTGGGGTTTTTTTTTGGGATTTTTTGGTGATTTTTTTCGGATTTTTGGGGGATTTTTTGGGGATTTTTAGGCGAGTTTGGAGGATTTTCGGGGGATTTTTGGGGGATTATTTAGGAATTTTTTGGGGGATAATTGAAGAATTTTTTTGAGGATTTTTCTTGGATTTTGGGGAATTTTTTGGCGATTTTTTGAATTTTTTTGAATTTTATCCAGTTCAACAACCTTTAACTCATTTTTTTAACCCTTTCATCACGGATTTATTGGCTCATCTGGCCCAGGCCCAGGCCCTGAGCGCGTTGCCCGCCCCGCCCAGCGCCGGACGAGCAGGAGAACACGAGGGGGTCCAGATCGGCCTGGAGCAGATTTGGGGCATTTGGGGGGGGATTTTTGGGGGGATTTTTACCTGAATTGTAACAAACTCAAAAAAAACTTCTTTTTTTAGCCAACTCCCCACGGATTTATTGGCTCATCTGGGCCAGGCCCAGGCCCTGAGCGCGTTGCCCGCCCCGCCCAGCGCGTGCCGCACGGCTCCGGACGAGCAGTAGAAGACCAGGGGGTCGATGGCGGCGTTGAGGCCGCTCAGCAGCGTGGCGTACACGCGCCAGCCGGGGCTGCGGCCCTGCCAGAACCCCACCACGTGCGAGACGTTGTAGGGGGCGAAGCAGAGGCCGAAAATCACCATGGTGGCCACGGCCAAGGCCACGGCGCGGCGGCGTTTGGCCGGCGGCAGCGCCGGGCGGGCCAGCAGGGCTCGGACGAAGCCGACGTAGCAGAAAACGGTGACGGAGAAGGGGAGGAGGAAGAGGAGGAAGAAGAACTCGAGGCGCAAGGGGAGGACGAAGCGGAGCTGGGCGGCCGAGAAGTCGTCGTAGCATTTGTGGGGGG